TCTCAAAATAGAGCTCGGGCAAAAATTTTTTAAGCCCACACTTACCAAAACTTTAAACTACTTCATACTCACAAAAATTGAATCGTATTCCTTCACAAATCCTTAACCTCTATACAAAAAAATATAATTAACCTGGGATCACAACAGTTAGTTAACTGACATCCCAAACTCTTAATAAAGGGGTCCTCACTCTTTTCTATCAAAGAAAACTCAATCTTCCACCATCATAAATTTCAATAAAAATTCTATCCAAAAACCCTAAAATAGATAATAGTTTTTCTTAGCCTTCGACAAACCCTAAACCTTCCACCACTAATCCTATAACAATTGAAACATATTAAACAACTTCCCCTCATCATTTTGGACAAGATGCTAGTAAAAAATATTTTGAAATTTTACTATAGATAGTGTTACAATTTCAAATAGTAATGAGCAATGCAAGTGAAACTTAGTAAAAAAATCTAAATGATATGCGAACATTAATTTTAAGTAGTTATTAGAAGCCATCATTGCAAAATAAATTAAAATTTTCAGCCATAAAACAAAGTTCAATGCTTTTATCTATAAAATAACTTAGTTTAAGACCATATAAGAGTTAGAAGGATAATTTAAGTGGAGCACTCAATTCACTCGTATATAAATCTTATATAAATCTCACTACATAGGGTCATTGGCAAGAATTTGGCTAGGCTGATTTTTAGAAGAGATTAACAAATGATAATTCTTGCAAAGTTATAAGATTTATCACATATATACAATTCTCCAAACATCAAAAGAGATTCTAACTTATTGCAATAAGATTGAACATCAAAGGTTGTGATCTCCTTGCATATAAAGATCTTCCTGCTGTTGTTATTGGCAGTGGAAAGCAATTGTGCTTGCAGAAGTATAGTACCAGGTAGATTTTAACACAAGTCAATTTTAAATTGTCTGCCTTAATGAGCATTCAACCTAATCATTTTCAAGGTTTGTCGATTCATCTTACTGTAGTATTAAAAGTGGACCTCTTCTTCTACAGAAAATAACTGCATGAAGATACGGAAAATAACTGCATGAAGATACCTAATTGCATTTTATCCTTCATTAAATGTGAGACAATATGACCATTGACTAAGTATGAAGATTGAAGGAGTTGGTGAATAGTGCTTTTCCAATCAATTCAACTTTTCTCTTTCCATTATAATTCCCCAGCTTACTTATTTCTCTGCTCATTGTATTCCTTGAGCGGTGATCATCAATATAGTGCCTTCTATCTCACATTTCATCAGAAATAAAATGCATTACATGTCAGATTTTTAAAATAGAAGTTGCAAAAAAGCTTTTACCAAATTAATTAATATTCTTATTGTAAAAAAGTTTGCTTCTAACAGACCTTTTAAAAGTGATCTAAACTCTAACATGCATCATTCTTACTATCATTACAAATATTGTTTCATTAAATTCAATTCAGCAATTCATCACCTTGCATGCTACTTATGATTTCTTTGTAAAAATAAAAAATGCCGAATCGTAAGTGTTGCGATGCATCACAACAAAAATAGACGAATTTTCAAAATTGTCAGAATTCAATGAAATAATTTTTATAAAAATCTAAATTAAATTTCGATCGATGTAATATAAAGAACTTAGGGTTAATTTCGAATGAATTAGAAATTAAAATTCGTCAAAGATTATTTAAGGTTAAATGACTAAATAGCCCCTCCTAACTCCCAAGAACACTTAACCATGAAAGGGCACATGCGTCCTTTGGCCCCCAACCGCCCAAAGAGCTTACATTCGGTCCCTTCATTTTCTTCATGTGTTCTTTGTTCGGCCGAACGCAAGAAGGAGAGGTCTACGGGCAAGGCGTAGGGCGAACAGCGGCCGACGGTGGCTTTGGGAGGAAATCGAAGGGGAATGTTTAAGAAGGAAAAATGTATGTTTCTAAATCTAGAATCCCTTCTTTTCAGTTAGATTTTTCATGATAAAAATCTAGGCTTTTTCCATAACTTAAAATTTTAGAAGAAGAATATTTAGGAAAAGTGTAATGATGATTTCTAACCACAAAAATTTAAAGTTCTCTCAAAATTTTTAGGCTTTCAAAATTAGGGTTTTCCCAAATTTAAATTTCTATGAAGATTCCTTCACAAATATTGTTTCAAATAGCCTTAGGAAAGTTTTTAATGGTAAAAATTAGAGTTTATCACTATTTTTCTTTTTTCTTTTTTTTTTTTATTTAAGAAAATCTGAAAGCCATTTTGTCCTAATTATTATTTTGGCAAAGGGGAAGGCTTTAGCATTAATTTGTGATGGGAATAATGAAAATTTGGTTTCCAAATTTAAGGTTTTAGGGAAAAACAAAAAATTCATGTCATTTTAAATTAAGCTAGGTAATTAGAAAGAGTTAGAAAAGGGAAATAATGGGATTAGACTAACTTGTGGGCATAAATTTAGGAGTTAATTAATTCCAAAAATAATGACATGCAAATGCTCAATTAAAAGGTTAATGTTAATGATATTATAATGTTCAATTAAATGTTAATGATGTTAAAATGCTCAATTAATGAAAACGAATTAGTATTAGAATGCTAATTTAATAAAAATGAATTAAGTTTAATGTTGGATAATCAAAGTTATATTCTTTTAAGTATGAAAGTTGGAGAGGAAAGGCGTCGGAAGGGTAAACGACGATTTGCGCACGTCCGAGAGTTTGCTTACTTACATTAGGTAGGTACATGTAATTCTTTAACTTTCAGAATATGTTTCCTCTCTAAATGTTTATTTAGAAGTACCATATAATCAATAGCATCCTCCATATACCCAATAATATGTTCCTTCTTTATTATGCAATGTTTCTCCTTTATTATGCAATATTCCTTCTTTGATATGCAATATACTTGGGCAACTTTTGATGTACATTTTAGAATGCACTATATCTCTTTTAAAATGTCTACATATAGAAATGCATAAAAACGTTGCAGTAGATAGGAACATATGGTTGAATGAAATGAAATATTATCACCCCTTCTACGATAAATAATGTATGATTGAATGTGTATGTTGGCACGAAGTATCGATATGATAAAAGAAAAAAATTATGGTCCTTGGAGCAGAATGAAAATGAATACAACTGTCAATTGAATGTGTACCTGAGCAGTACAAACTTGATGCTTCGTTATGGATGTATATGCTATAGATATGTTATATGCATAACGACTATGAAATGTGTAAAATGTAAAATGTTACGGACTAATGAAAAGAAAAATGTTCATATATAGGATGATATACAGACTTAAGTAAATCAATTATTACTGCATCACACATGTACTATTCCTTGATTTAGTTTATTTATTATTACACTGTACCATGAAATTGGCATGCATACTGTGTTCTTACCTTATTTTTTCTGAAATTTATTGAATATCATGTTACATACTGAGCTTTAGCTCACCCTAGTTGTGAAATATTTTTCAGGAGAACCTGTAAATCTGTGATGGAAGACAGGCAGTCGTTCACATATCATCGTAGGGATACGTTAGGAGATACGTTCTCTTTTTATTGTTTTGATGTTTTGTGATAGAAAGACATGTATGATGTCATGTGATAGAGGGACCTCCACTTTTTATAATAGACTTCTCATATATGTGTTTATTAATGAACGAAAATGTTTTTACATGAGTTAGTGACTCTTTCTTACTATTGTTAGATAATTATTATGATATGATATGATATATATTGGAATTAAAATTGAAAGGTTTTAATTTTTCCGTACGACCGTCTATTCCCGCCTCGTTAATTCGAGTTTATTGAATCAGGTCATGTTACTATGTTTCCCATAATCCTTGAAGCATTTCTCATCTCACATGCTGCTATTTAGGATTTGTGAGGTCCTTTTGTAGCAAATCATCCTAGACATTATTTCGTTCGTAAATCAATTTCTTGTCTTTGAACAAACAAAATTTCATATATATATAATAAAAACATTGCTGCTAACCCCAAAATCAAGCTATTATCTCTTGCGAGTGTATTAATCAGAGGTCATAAAGCAATACCATCACCCTCATTAGACATATCCTAACTGTATAGGATCGGCTTTGTGAATCCTCATTTTTTATTCATTCATAATAAGTGATGCTAAAGTATTAAATCTATTCTTATAAAATTAATTTAAACAATTTCTATCTATTTTACCTTCAAGTCCAATCTCCATCCAAATTCCATGACACTAATTTTATCTATTAGTATGATAGGTACATTTTCTGCATTTTGTATATGTCCAAACCACATAAATTTTCATCTCTTTAAGTATACAAATTCTAGCTATGTTCCCTTTAATATAACCATTCTTCTCCCTAGTCTTTTGTATTATATGTCTGACCAATTAAGGCTATTTTCCATTACCTCACTTTCATTAAGTACTACTTTTAATCACACTTTAGCATTTCTAGTTCATCACATATCATCTTACCATTCTACTTTTTTTCTTACTTCTGGGCTATGAAATTGCTTGGCCCATGAATATAATCCATTAAATATTTTAAGTCTAGTCATTTCGTAAAAGCTACCTTGTCACAAATTACTTTAAAGAGTTTCCATGCAAATTACTCGTCTATATTACCTAATATTTATATAAAACATCCAATTAATTCTATAACCTAGTATCTCTTGATTCTCCAATAATATTGATTACCATCTATCAATTTAATATACAGAAAATTCCATATCATGCATTCAATCTTTTACATAAGTCTTTAAGCCCTATGTCTTATTAAATAAAGATGAGCAATAACGAATTATATTAGCTTAAAAATTGTTAAATCAAATAAAGTTTAAATACTCATTGCACCATTCACGATAATGCCAATATAGCACTCAAAGACTGGCATGGAATCAAATTCGTCATGACCATCAATGCTTCTGGAAACAGTTATGAAAAAAGGATATTTTGAGCCAAACAAAAATTCATTCTTCCACCTCCAAAAAAAAAGTATCAAACAGTCTTAGCATGCAAATAAAAATACCTTTCCTGTGGAGAATTTTTCAACAATGGCATTCATCTTACTCCGTGACATGTTCCTCAATCCAGAATGAAAGCCCACGAGGAAATCACATTTCCAAAATTCTAGAGACTTCAAGCTTTTAAGAATACATGCAAGTGCTCTTGCAACAATGATTCTTTTCACAAATATTATGCATTTAGAATTCTCCTTCAACCTGAGAAATAAAGAGAAGCACAAGAAATACATACAAGAATATTCAAGATTGCAAGGATTAAGCATGCTCACAAAATAAAATTAGCAACATTTTGGACACATTTTACAGCCATACGATATATCTTCATTAACTCTACATTTCTTCTTCTTTTTTTTCTATTTTTAAGCATAACTGTCTTTCTTTCCACAATCAATACATCAAGCTTCAATAGCATACCAACCATAATAAAAAACAGAAGCGTGTTCAGATATTGGCATCAAATTTATCAGTTTTAAAAGCTTATCATAACTGTAGTCCATTCTAGTTTCACATGAGTTCAGAATCAAATGCATGCATCATAACATTTTGGGCATATCCTGCATTACCCCAACTACCTGGCTAGGTTTCAGCAATCCTTACTCTTTGTTAGATCTCAGCCTCTCGTTCCCAAATTGATCCCACGGCTACAGATAGGGATCCATGGGAAGCCCACATGAATCACGTTGATTACCTTCCTTAGCTAGGCAGCTGATTTAGGAAGGATTATATTAAGGAAATTAATGCATGATTATGTAGTTATTTATTTCTTTATCAAGACATCTTGTATATAACTATAAATAGGGATTATGTTGTATAAAAAATTTAGCTTTTCCCTCTCATACCTCTCAAGCTAACATGGTATCAGAGCCACGATCAGCTGTCGCCAAATCTTTGTAAAAAGATATACGAAGGAAGCAGAGAAAACGATCTTCATTGCCGCTAAAGAACGATCATCGAGCAGCCCAAACTGCTATGTTCCTTTCGGCCCTCCGTGCATACTCAAGTGAGCCGCGAGATTCCTGCGAGCAATTTGCTCGGTGGGAACGAGAGGCAGATAGGCGGAGACAGCCTAACCCTGAATGGTGCCAATACCGCTAAAGCTGCCAAACGCTATTGCAAAAGACATGCAAATGATGCTATCAGACGCCGTCAACACCTCCGATGTGCTCCCGTCGCGGCTTCCTCACTTCTTTGTTTCGCAGCTTCCCGACATTGTCAGATGCTCCCTTATGCCCTAGCTGACATTTTTTTTCTTTATAAGAATGAAGGCGGCTCGGTCAAACTCACTTAATGCAGAATTTAATCAAGTGAGAGTCCAGATCCTTGGCAAAGAGAAGACAACATCATTAAATGAGACCTTTTCTCTCATTCGTGCTAAAGAAAGCCGACGAGTAATTTTATAACCAAAGGTTGTTGAAAGTTCAACAATAGTGATAACCAGAGAAGCACAATGGAAGGAAAAAGGTAAAGACTCCTCAAAATTTAACGATAGATACTCTCTTTGGTGTAGTTATTGCAAGAAATCAAACATACAAAGGAGACATGCTGGAAGATAAATGGAAAGCCCACAAGGAGTGGAATCAAAGAAGTGGACAAAAAGGAACTTCACAAGCCAACACTATAAAAAGTCAATCTAACCCAAAAATGGAGTCCAACTTCAAAGAGTTCAATAAGGAAGATATTGATAAACTAAAACAACTCCTGGTATCACTTGAAAAACCAATTGCATCATCTTCACTTGCACTTTCATGTATGTTTTCTATTGGATTAAGTGCCTCTAGAAATCATTTAAAAGGATTATAGATCATTGACTCAGGAGTCATAGATCACATGACACGCTCTACTACCCACTTCATCAACTATACTCCTTGCTCAAGTGATAAGAAAATAATTACTGTTGATGATTCTCTTACTACAGTATCAGGCCAAGGAGACATACTCTTATCTCCCTCCCTCACTCTAAAAAAATGTGCTCCATGTACCTCAATTATCCACAAACCTAATCTCTATATAGAAACTTACCAATGACCATAATTGTCAAGTACTATTTAACCATACTTATTGCTTATTTCATAACCAAAGATCGGGAAAAAAGATTGGACTTGCTAAGGAGAAAGCAGGGTACTACCTTGAAGAGTTGAACAAATCTAAGAACAACAACTCTATATTATCCCTAATTAATAAGAAATCTACTATCTAGCTTCATCATTTTAGATTAGGACATCATTTTTCGTCATCTTAAAACATATGTAATCCAAATTTTTTTATAAATTGGAAAATGAACATTTTCATTGTGAACCTTGTGAGTTAGCCAAATATAAAAGAGTTTCTTTTCCAAATAAAAATTAGAGATGTGACATTCATTTCTATCTTATTCATAGTGATATAAGTGACCCCTAAAAAATTCCCAACATCTTTGGGGCTCTCTGGTTTGTATCTTTAATTGATAATTGTACTCGAGTCTCTTGGATCTATGTCTTCAAAAATAAATCAGACGTTAGCATATTCTTCCCATTTTTCACACCATAATCCTGAATCAATTCGGGGTAAAAATAAGAAAATTTAGTTCTGACAATGCTAAAGATTACTTCAAACAAACCCTATACTCCTATTTTCAAAATGAAGGTATCATCCATGAGTCTTCCTGTGTTCGCACCCCGCAACAAAACGGGATTGCGAAAAGAAAAAATTGTCACCTTCTAGCCTCCACTCCTATCTACCTATTCCACCACAATATACCCAAATCATATTAGGAGGAAGCCCTCCTAATTTCTGCTTACTCATAAACTGACTACCTTTAAAAGCCTTGGGACTAAAAATTCCAACGGATATTATGTCCTCCTTTTTACCCTGAATATCGAACCCATAATAATCTTACACTGAGAATTTTTGGGTATACTGATTATGTTCACCTTCACAATCAAAATAGAGGAAAGAATAGATCCAAGAGCACTTAAATACATCTTTATTAGATATTCAGCTACCTAAAAAAGTTACAAATGTTATCATCTCCCCACAAAGAAACCCCTTTATCTATTGATGTAATTTTTGATGAACAAAACTCCTATTTTTTTCAAACCTCATCTTTAGGGGGAGACTGAAAATTAAGGAAGATGAGGAAAGTGAGCTTGCCCCTCTTAACCTTCCACATCCACCTCAAACCAATCCACCTGAAATCAAAAATAGGGAAACTGAAGACAAAGTTGTCATTAGATTTGAGAATGTATATTTCAAGTGTACAAGTTCAAACTATGCTCTGAAGCAGATCCAAGAATCTGAACCAGCTCCTGAAAATAAGGTTAAGTTTAACCCCTTCCTTGAACACCATAACCAACTCTATATCCTTCAATAACTTTTCATACTCACACAAAATGATGAGGACATCAACAGGAAATTTCAGCAAGTCTATCACAGGAGACATCGCAGATCAACGGCCATGATCATAAGCATCTATTTTTGAGTCATTTCATTAGTAGTCTTTTGTTTATTTTAGCTTTGACCATTATACCCCTTCATGGGAGCTTAGTGAGTTGTAGCCCAAAGGGCACTTTTTCTTTTAGTTCTTCTACTTTGGAGGCGTATATATAGATGTCTTAGACTTGTATTGAGGATGATGATTGCTAGATGATAAAATTTCAGCCTTGTCTTCTAGTTCTCTTAGTGAGTGCTTGAGTGGAGAGACCCTAGAGAGGGGGGAGCAATACGCACTAGCCACCGGTGGATTCCAGACTCGTGGTTTTCGTTCGTGGAGTGTATTTTGTTTCTTTCCTTCATTCCAGACCATCGACAATCCCTAACCTAGCCACTAGCCACCGGCCACACCCTATTTCCCTCCCAACCCACCAATGAGACCACCCACCATCCGGTCGGCCACCTCTCGGCTGCCAGGTTCAACCCAACCACCCTGGCCGCCAACCCCTCCTAAGGCCCACCCAACGTCCTCCTCAAATGCCACCTCATCACCATCCTAAATTGGCCCAATCTAAATTAGGGAAGGCTTAAAATTGAATTCAAATTAATTTGAATTTCAAATTCTCTTTCCTAAATCTGAAATTTATTTTAGGAAATCCCTTTAATCCTCTCTCAAATCTGAGAATAAATTTAGATTTATTGCAATCAATCAATCAATTAATTGAGGTTCACATACATTGCACGTGGACATCTCTCTCTCCCCAACATGACCGGCCCCCTTACCCTTTTTCTCCCACTTCCTAATTAATTCCCTCCCTCAATCACTCTTCAAACCAAGCTAACTGCCGGCCCCCCTTCATATCTCCCCCCTCCATTCGAATTTAATTGAGCCATAATCAAGGCTAATTTCAAATAATTTCCCTTTAATTCTCCCTCCACTTCTCTTAATTAATCAATTCAAAATTCAAATTTCACAAGACCCTAACCCATAAAATCTGAAATTTATTTCAGATTTCAAGTTCCCCACCCCCTCCCCATTGGCCACCCACCCCGGAACCTAAACCCCTCTACACCGCCGGCCTCCTCACCCTCTCCCCCTTCCCTCACAAGCCGCCACCTCCAATTCTACCCAAGACAAATTTTGCCCATGGAAGGCGGATCCCAAACTTGATCCCGGCATACTCTACGATCAAGAAGACCTCGTCAACACCTTGCAACCAACCTTCTCTACTATCAACTTTGACTTCGACGAGACTGTGGAAGGATACGTGGATAAAATTCTTTTTCAATTATCCACCGCCATTGATCGAAGAGTCTCCAAAAATCACCCAAGCCGTCCACTATCTCTTCGAATCTGGTTAACTCTTCAATGACCAATACTCGCGGCATTCGCTATTTACTAGTGGCATTAGTAAAATTTATTATGATCTTCCTCCGCTAAGCCCACTTAAATGAGTGAGAGTGAGAGAAACTCATAGGTGAATTTTCTTATTGTTAATGAGCAGATTCGTTGTTATTTCCATAAGCGTTGTTGAGTTTGAATTATTTTACATGTCTTGCTATTCTTGCATGTAACTGTTTACTATTCTGAAATCAAGTTCGAACAATTCGGAGATTCTCCCTCTCATGAAACATTGCTTAGTACTTTGTATGGCTTAAAATACTTTTATTAATTACGTGCAATTCCTAATTTGATACCGTTTCACATCACAAAAACTTCCTTGTTACACTGAAAGATATCCATATTCCTAATGATATTTTTGAGGCCTTATCTAATGAAAATAAAAAAA